ACTAATTGCAATTGTCATTTCCAATATCTTTAAGATCACATTCAGTAATTTCAGAGATTTCACTTTAATATGGCGCTTACTTCTCCTTGATGTGAGAAAGTGAATCCTCTTGAAAAGACGTTGAGATAGCAAAAGCAAAATTCGCAGCATTAAATTTTACCGCTAGAGCCAAACCTAACAGCTTTTTTTCCCATTCGGCTATAATATTTCAGTTTGTAACGGATACACGTTTTCTGTTTTTACTTACGCCAATGTGTATCGTTCAATTATTGTGGAGACGAGAAATTTCAAATAAAACTAACCAAACCAACCTATCATGTGTTAAAATCGGGTCAGCTGACAAATCTTTAGTTGGTCTGCCATATGTCAACTAGACATTCTTTTTATGACAAGAGAATACACATTACTTCTATAAAACTCATTAGTATATGATACTAATATATTCAACATAAGATTAATGTGTATATATATTTTTTATTTCTTCGTCTTAAAAAAAAATTCAAACATCCAAAACAACTTCAGAAAAATTAAAATTATTTGGCATTTTCAGTTTCAGAGAGAGGGAGGAGGGGTTACACTGGACTCGTAAATCTCTTGCTTCTTTACATTATGTGTGTTTATTCATGAGAAGTGTGAATTTTCTTTTAACATTAGAACACCACTCTCGGTTAAAATCTCACATTGCCCACCAATTTGCTCGGCATCATTTATTATTGAACACTTCATCAAGTCACTGATGTGCCAACATTTAGTTAATTTAACTTTAGACGCATAAAGGAGACTTGAAGACCATGATGCCAAGAAATTTTTTTTTTTTACCAAAAATATGTCAAGAAAGAGAAGTAGTAATTGATTTACGACCTTTTTGACGTCTAAAATATCCCACTTTGGTTCCTTCACCCAATCAAGAGAGCCAAAACAGTGCACATAAAGTCATGAATCCCTAGACTAATCTCTCTACCTTTAACCAATAGTTTCAATAGCATTGCGATACTATTTGATCCACCACGACTTAAACAAATTATAACAGGACAATAAAACAAATTTTGTGTTTCTTTTAACATTTTCATAAAGGCCAAATGATACGCCTAAAGAAGCACATAAACATATTTATAACTTACACGCAAGAGGAAGACATATTTATAACATATTTATAACTTACATGAAAGCGAAGGTTTATTCAACATCAATACAAAGAACATATCAAAGAAAAAAAGAACTCGAAGTCGAAACTATGAACATGATTTTAAGAACACACACACACAAAATTTTACATCTGAACACAAAATAGAAATAGTTTTTTTTTGGATTTTGTTTGGTAATAACACCATTGCCCATTTCAAACACGCGAGATCTCAGATGAGAAACAAAAAAAACTCTCGGGAAAAAGGTAGTGGAAAAAAATAGGCAAAAGCAAATTCCCAAAAAAAAATCCTTTTTGGGTAGAAAAATAAGAAAATTTAAAACCACGAAATATATGAAAAATAAGCAATAAAGAGGACTATACTTCTTCAGGCCATTCAATGACACTCTCCAACGACGGTTTCCACCTCCGACATGATCTCCGGCAATACTTCTCTTCCTCGGCAGCCGCAGCTTCTCCGGCTAATCTGTCTACTTCAAGCTCTCTGAGAAAATCTCCGAAAGAAGCCAACGTGGCATCTCCTCCTTTGGCTGCACCATCTGCATTAAGCTGGAAAAGAATGAGTTTCTCTAACTCATCTCTCGTTAGAACAATCTTCACTTTCCGATCTTTTTTTTTGTAACCTTTCTTCATCACTTCTTTACATTTTTCTTCTTCCTCAGCAACATTTTCAATCTTCTTTCCGACTAAACAATTTCCCATAATGATCAACTTCAATGTAGTAGAACAAATGGTTTTTTCTTTTTCTTTTTGGGAAATAATACCCAAACAAAAAAAAATAAAAAAAAA